CTTGTGTCTCGGTAAGACCCACCCTGACCAGCCTATCTAAAATTATAACCGGCCTTCCCTTGCCCCTCTGCCACACATACTCCCTTCTGCTCCGCTGGGTCTCCCCCCAGAGCACTAGGCACCTTCTGCTATGTCTACCGTTTACTGTCGAATGGGGTAATAAGGCTGTTTACGCCCCGACCCCACTCCCTGCCCCGTTGTGTCGTTAAGCATGGGGAACAAACGGTGCCCGGCACCTCCTCGCCGCGCTGCAGAGAGGAGGCAACCACAACCAGCACATACACGGAGAGTGGCTGTGGTGCATGCAACAAGAGGAACCTGGGGGAGACCTCCCGTGAGGCCAGTGGACACAGAGGACGGCAGAGGGTGACATCGCCATGATCAGGCTGACTCAGAACCTCGCGCCTTGTCTGAAGAACAGCGGCATCCACCACTCCCTCCTCCCCAGCCTCAGGTCAGTGGACGGGGTGACATTTGCCACAGAAGACTGTTCCCTAAACTGGACATGCCGCCTCGGGTGAGCCAGGGCTCCTCAGCACCTGTGGGACCCCACCCTCATACCCTAAAGGACAGCCTACCAGTCTACACACTCCGCCCGCTGCCACAGACCTCCTGGAAGCCCTCCGGGTCAGGGAGGAATGGGCCGACCAGAGACCTCACTTCCATGATGCAAGAGGAAAGCCAAGCCAAGGACTGAGGCCAGTCCATCTCATCTGTTTAAAAAGAAACACCACTCAGGATGACCAGGTATTTGAATAAAACCAGTAAAACAAACCAACTCTGCAGGAAGGAGAAGATTCAGGCAAAGGAAGAGAAACAGGAGAGGCTTAAGATATAATCATGAATTTGGAATAGGCTGTCAAAAAGGGAATAATTACAAAATACAAAAAACTCCTGGAAATTAAGGTTCATCTTTTGACAGACAATCTACTACTACGTTATGCCCACTGGGTGGCCGTGAGCCATGCATGTGGCTCCTCAGCATTTACCATGTGGCCTGTCTGGACAGAAATCCGTAGTAAGTGTAAAACACACACCAAATTTTGAAGACTCAGTATGAAAAATACAATGTAAAATACCTTAGCAACTTTTATACAAATTTCATATCAAAATGACAGTACTTTAAATGGACTGGGTTAAATAAAATGTATTTTTAAAATTAATTTTACCTATTTTTTTTTACTTTTGATAACATGGCCACTAGAAAAATTTTAATTACATATATGGCCCATATTGTATTTCTACTAGAAAGTGCTGATCTAGACTATACCGTTAAAAATATCACCAAGAATACAGAACAAAAAAAAAAAGAAGCAAAAAAATGAGAAAAGAGAAGTATCCTGACGAAATAATCCAGAAGGACCAGAATTGACTAGTAGGAGTTCGCAAAAAAGAGAGCAGAGAAAACAGAAGAAATGTTTAAATGGGTGTGAGTCTTCAAATGGAAGAGGTCCATTAAGTACAGACCTAAAGAAAAAAAATGATGAAAAAGAAACCACAGAAACCAAACACTTCAGCTAGTGACATATTCCTGAAAACCCAGATTACCATGGTTGACAGGTTTAAAGGGATTCCAGAAAGGGGTGGGTGGGGGGAAGATCACCTGTGACATACAGACAGAGTTAACAACACATGTAGGAAGACTGCAAATCTCTAAACTGTGAAGTGAGAAAACCAGGGGGTGGGATGGAAGCGCAGGGACAGGGGTGTCACAGAGCAAGGAGCACAGAGATAGCTCAAGTGAAGAGGCAGGTTCAGTGTGAATGAGAAACCAGCAGCAGAACTGAAACGAACAGCTAATGGAAACCGGCCAGGGAGGCGGACAAGTCATACTTCCTAGTGCAGGGGCTTGGGTGGGGGGTGGGGAGGGTAAGAAGCCCCCAGCCGTCACATGACCATCAAGAACTAGAAAGAGAAACATATTATTTCCATGGGAGAAGCCATCAGAAGTACTAAACGTAGAAATGGTTAAGCGTGAAATTCATTCTGGGGATTGATATGAAGGGAAGGGCATGACTGCATGACAGGTGACCTCTCCCCATCTTAGGCCCTCTGGTGCCACATGGGAGTATATCACATGCAAACAACTTTAAGAAGAATTAATCTGAAAGAAATAAAGTGGGAATAGCTGAAAGGGGTCTGGGTTAAGGACCAGAAAACCAACTAGAAAGCACCAGCAGTACACAGAACAACAAATCCTGGGAAAGTTATTAGTCCTGACAGTGTCAGCAGATCCAACAGGCTGTTAGAGAAAGAAGTCAAAAGCTACACTGGGACAGGGATGGTCAATGAAGAGCATTACAGGCCTCCTGCACAGGAAGCTTGGGAGGAAAACTGAAGAGAAAAAGCATGCACACGAAGAATAAAATCCTACGGGTTTACACTGCAGTATTAGTGGGACATCCAAATGCATGAGCTCCATGACAGGACTTCTCACAGCAGATCACCTGGTGGAACTGAGAGGGTCTCTGACCCTCTGAAATGACACACAAATGCATGTCTACATGCATATTAGAAGGGTGGGAGGTGAGGGGAAGAGGGCACGTGTCCACTGCTTATCACCCAGTTCCCGAAAGGATGCACGAATGGCTCCATTTCGTGGAAAATACCACATGGATCTCAGGTGCAGGATCACAGCTGTCCGTGTGGAAGCCGCCAGCCTAAGAAGAAACGACACTATGCAACCCTATCATCAGTCTATCGAGGCAGACCATGTACAGAGGGAGCATGAGGATAGCTCGTGCACGGGTGCATGGAAGAAGCTGGAGGGGCCTATGGGACAGGAGGTGAGAAGCTAGAGAGTCTGAAGGATTGAAAGGAAGAAAGCAAAGAGGCAGACGTGCATGAGCAGAAATCTCAAACAGAAACAAGTCAATGCTGGAAGCAGTGTTTCCAGGAGATTTGAGCAGACACAAAACAGATCCACCGGGTAAAACAGGAAGTGGGTGGAGGAGAGAGAAGGGACAGAGATGAAAATTAACATCGACAGAGAAAGACAGTGGTTTCTGATAGGTTTCCCTGAAAGAAAGAAGAGGGGCGCCTGGCCGGCTCAGTTGGTGCAGCAGGTGACTCTTGATCTCAGGCTCATGAGCTCAAGCCCCACACTGGATACAGAGTTTACTAAAAAGTAAAAAAATCTTTAAAATTATTTTAAAAATTAAAAATTTTTAAAATAAAAGAAAGAAGACTCCATGTGGCTATGGACAGAAAATAATTTTAAAATGCATATCCATTTTTCAGAATTTTAGATTTCACTCTTCAAAACAACTGAGCTCAAGTCTTGAACTAAACAAGTAATATAAACACCATTCAATTTTCAAGCCCTGCAGTAGCCTTCTGCACACAGGCAGACAAGCCTCAAGTCCTGGGGAGTGCCGCAGGGCCAGCCAGCACTCGGATAGGACCAAATCAGACACAGGGCACAGCAGTTTCACAGCGGTAGGTAAAAATTCACTCAATATTTACTTCTACTGAAACTGCAGGTTGCTAGTTCTGAATAACATCGTGCAGTGGACCCCTCATTGGAGGGATCACTGGCAGCACCCTCCGCTGGCTCCAACCTCTATTCTGTGTTGTCCCCACCCAGCAACTGTCCCTGGGGGGCCCTTGCTTGCCAAGCCATGATGCCAGAAATTATCTGTTATGTTTGGGTTCTCTCCTGGTTCTTCCTAGCTTTCTACAAATGGTATTCCTGATAATACCATGATCTTTTTTTTTTTTTTTTTTTAAAGATTTATCCATTCATTTGAGAGAGAGAATGCGAGGATGGGCAGGGGCAGAGGTGAAGTAGATGCTCCAAGCGTGGAGCCTGACCTGGGGCTTGATGTCACAACTCTGGAGATCACATAACCTGAGCCGAAACCAAGAGTCAGATGCTCAATGGACTGAGCCCCCCAGGCACCCCATGATCATTTTGTTATTAATCACTTTTCTGTGGGGGAGGGGCAACAGAATCATTACAATTTCTAACTCTTGGAATTGTTCTGGTATGTTTAAAACACTCAATATAGAACTAAGATTCTATCTCTTAAACTTCCCTTATTTCTACAAAAGTTTTATTTGCATGTTATAATAGCATCACTCAAAAGAGTTGCATAGATTTTCATCAAATTTGGGGGCTATTTCTGGAGCGACTGAACTGAATATAAAAGGCTGTGACAAAAACAAAATTCATTTTGGGAGGCCTTCCCCAAGAGCTAAGCAGTTACACCCCAAAGCAGCCAGTAGAGAACATAGTAGAGATCCATCTGTCTGTCAGGGGAACATGACACATGTATCAAAACAACATGGAGAATCTGAAGAGCATTTCAAATGTGAGATCCAAATCCAAGGTCACAAGAAGAAATGCTGGCTTGGCATGGAACAAATGCTTATCAAATGGAAGAATCCATCCGTACCATGGTTATCAGCTCTCTAAAATAAAACAGGTGACCTATAGTGATAAAAAGCAGTATCAACATCACCAAAAATTTTCATTTGTTTTAAAATGGGACCCCTGGTTTAATTTTCATTACTGTATGTGCCTGAATTTTATAAAACTATTTTGTTGTGAATTTGGTAACTTAGAGTTCAGAGACTCTGCTAATTCAGAACAACGATACCTGAATGAGGTTGCATCAGGCTTTCCAATGTATTTCTTTATAAACTGAACTGAAGCAACGAGGTAATATTATTGACCTCGCCAAACCAGCAATTTAATCATAAATAAAATGAGTTTGTATTCCATTACTAAGCAGGGGTAATATCTCAAGATCAATGACGTCTATGAACAGCCAACAAGATTTCGACTTTCTAGTTAAATTAGTTATGTGAAAGCCATAATGACCACGGATCAATTTATAACCGCTATAAAAATAAGACTCCTTGGAATGAAAGTCACTTTGTATGCTAAGTGACTTTTAAACAGCTGACAAGACATAATCCACTTTTGATATTAGGATGCTCACAGGTCCTCTGCAGTAGAAAGAAAAACTGCAAAGAGCAACTTATAAAAAATTTACCTTCTTTGAATTTCCAATTCCTCTTGTGATGGACCATTTTGAACTTGGGCAGGTAGTTGAGAATTTTGTCTAGGCAATGTTGGCCCTAAAAAGGAGGAAAACATTATAGATGAACATTATCTTTATAGTTAGCTGGATGGAAGAGATAAAAACATGAGAAGAATAACATAAAACCATCACATATTTACGAATGTATCTTCTTTTTTTGTTTAGCAAAATAAAATATAAGCTTTACATAACACACAGCAAATGAAAGATTGCAACATAATACTGTCATCATCTCCAGAAGGCTTACTTGAAACAAATGGAAAACATCAACGATAAAGGCAAAATAAAACATTTGTATATGAAGAGCTTGAGGAAAACAAGTGTTCAATGAGCATCTGAATAGGCACCTGAGCTGGACGTTTCTAAGACAATGAGACATTCTCTTTGGGGTAATTATTCATGAAGTGGAGAGGGAGAACTTAAATGAAAAAAATCAGAATTCAAACTCACCTAAATAGAACACTGGAAATGAAAAACAGGAGAGAGAGAGCATGAGAACCTTATTACTAAGATGAAGAACGCTAATGCATTTAACAAATTTGCCCAATTTAAGCTGCCATTTTTATTTAATGGGTTGGCATTTCCAGCACTGGTGAAAACAAACATTTGCTAAACTTCTATATAAAATTAACCTACGTATCTGAATTTTTAATGTAACATAGATCATCACTTTTCATTTGGGACTTAAAAAAAAAAAAAAAAACCCAAAATCAAAAACAAAACAAACAAAAAAACCCACCCAAAAGCCAAAAAGCTACCTTCAAACCAGCATGGTTTGGTCACGAGAAACTAATGACCATCCATTCCCACATACCATGTGCAGTGCAGACCCATTTTACCATCTTATAACAAATGCCACTAAATATGGGACAATTTAATGTCACTGGATATAAAAATTAAATGTGTCACGAGAGAAATAAATACTGGACCTAATACACGAAGCCTAGGGTTAAAACAGAACAATCTTGAAATCTAACCCAGTAAACAAACAGAATCCAGTAAACAAGTAAATCTAGAGTGCCAGCAAATGCCCCTAACAGATATTTTGACAGTGTTTTGTAGGCCGCTAGTACCAGAAACAAGTAAGAGAGAAATGCCTCTTTGTACTAACGTAAATTTTTGGTAACTCTGTGCCGTGCTAGGGAAGTAAACCTTGCAGCTAGAAGGATGAAGTTCGGGCAATTTTGGTATGGTACTGGCATATCCCAAATGTGGAAAAACAGATAAGTGGATCTAAACTTACCTACTAAATTTTTGTTCTCATCTCTTTACCCATTTCTAGATTATTCATGTAATTTGTCCTCTAAAAGACAAGTTACATGACAATTGCAGTGATGTATTTCATTAGATTTCCTAAGTCTGCTATTTTGAAAACCACATAAAGGAAATATTAAAATATATTAATTCTAAGTCATCAGTAACAAGAACAAAAAATCAAAAAGCGTTTTAAGTTAGTGTTAAACACACACTTAAATTTTTGCATAAATGAAAAACAGAACTTGTCTAGTAAACAGGCTGGAATTCTTTCCTTCTTTTGGAAATGAACATAATGATGTAAAAACAGACTGTCATATTAAGCCATAAACTAATGTCTAATACTCATAGAAGGAAAAGATGTCTTATCTCTTCCAGCAGAAGGGGGGACAAACAGAAGACTGGGAGTGGAGAGTAAACACGAAAAAATATAAACTAAACTATTTGGGGGAAGTATTTTTTATATCCAAAGTTGCATTTATCCAAAAATATTAAATGTGAGCACTTAGCCTGGGCAACTCATGAAACCATTCTGGCTTAATTATTTTTTAAATTAATATTTGTTATTTAAGTGAAAAGCTCAGACTGCTCAAATAATTAAACAGCTGGATGTCATGGGGTCAGAGAGATTCATCCATCACCCATCCCAAAAAAGGACACCAACATACTGCTCACATGTAGCACAGGCATTTGTGACCTCCATGGTGATACGGACAGATGAAATACCCCAATATAAAACTACCGATTTAAGTTTTAAGTCAAATACACAAATTCAAGAAAAGGGTGTCAAAATTTCAATTCAACCCTGATTTTGTTCAACAGATTAAAAAAAAAAAACTAACAAAAGTTTGATTTAACTCAAAAAAAGTTTGAATGAGAAAAAATTATCTTTTAAAAACAATTTACAGAAACTGTTCTGGATTTCTTTTTTTTTTTTTTGTAAGTTAAAAACTTAACAAATTTGTTTTAAAAGGAGGTTTTAAAAATGTGGAACATATTCTCTGGCTGGTATCATTAGAAAATTAATTCACCACAAATTTATTCATGTAGCCAAAAGAGGAAGACCCTTTTAACATGAGGGGAATCCTGATCCAAGAAAAGCTCTCCCGAGTGTATTCTACATGGTTCTTTGTGGTAACGGGCAGCTTGTCTTTCCACACACATCCCCTCCCTGGTGGGCCGGAGAGGAGGGGCCTGCCCCTGGGGTCTTCTCGCACCTGTATTTAGTCTAGTTGTCTTGTCTGTTTCTTCGCCATCAGTACTGTCAAGTCACAATAAGGAGCACACTCAAACTCATGTGTATTTAAGAGAATGTAAATATACCGTAAGCACTGCATCGAAGAGTTCAGGGTCACTTAACTCCAGGGACACAATCTCATGTTTCCTTCTGGTTGGTCCCACCCACAGGAGGGTCTGGACATGAAGCAACAACTAGAAGTAGTCAAGGCTGCCAGCTGCCGCCATGTTTTCTGGACTGTAACCACTACTTCACATCGGTCATAGATTCCTAAATGAGCATCTGTGTTCTCACAGAATGCAAAAAAAGGCACTTTCCTATCCGGTGGGCACAAGACAGTATTCTTATGAGCATCCTGTGGTGGCTAATGGTTCTCTTTCGGGAAAAAGGAAAAGAGACACGTGAGCCTGCCTCATCCCTACTGTGGTGTCATGAAGAATGGTAGCTAATTTTGAGGGTTATTGCCTCTGTTTTATTACCAGAGCCGGAGACAAGGACTGATATTAATCTGTCCTGGCTATAATTCATACAGCAGAGATGTGACTTAGTTTCTAATAAAGAAAATGTGTCCATGTCCCTGATAGATTCTCTATAAATGATGGAGAGCAGAATAGTGTGTCTCTCGATTCCAGGAATGAATGGCATTTCAGTCTTTACTTAATACTGAGTTTTGGCTAAAGCACACTGCACCTGCTGTCACATTTTAATTTCCACAAATCTGGTTTTACACTTAGCCACAGACTGCTTAAAAACACAGGACTAAAAGACCAGGAGGTGTTATTATACACAATACAATCAAGTGTAAACTTAGCAATGTGGTAATTATATTATTGTACACAGTTAAATCAATTAAAGGTAATAATGGGGAAAAATCTGCTTTTTTAACACATTATTTTACAACTTAAAAATTCACCTTTATTAAGGGAAAATCAATCCTCTCTGCAATTGGGTAAATTGTATCTATTACTCTGCATATGGAACTCAACATAGTAAGTAGCAAAGTACAGAACATCAGAATGAACTAAAAAAAAGTCCTAATAACACCAATATGAATAATAACTCATGGCTAGTTCAAAAGGTGGCCTAGAAGAACCCCCAGGAGGAGGCTGAGAGAAGCATCGCTTAGAGTCGCTGATTAAACCCTGGGAAGCAGGGAGTTAGGAAGACCAGCAGCACAGGCTCACTGATGGGACCGTGTCGTCCGGAGCAAGCCAAAAATGGAACTTTAGGTGATTAAGAAATACACCAGAGTTTTTATTTTTGGAAATTTTATAACACATGCTTCTTTGCCTCAACCAGCAGTACATAAATTTTTAAATTCTAAAGAATTAGGTAAAGAAACAATATAAGAAATACTGAAGAATCACATCAAAAACTGAGTCACGTGGATAAAGCACACATACAAGGCTGAACTGTTTATATAAAATTTTAGCAATATTAATACTTTATAATTATATGTCTCATAGAACAACTGGGCCAGTCAAGGTATACAGGAGTAAAAAAAAGATCTATATATTAGGAGTCAAAAAAAAAAAAAAAAAAGTTCTAACACTTACAAGTCATTTTTTGAACTTGGTTTTCCAAACAGAAGGTTTTAGAATCAAATAAGGATAAAAACAATTCAGAGGAAGGTGTGCGTGTCTGTGTGTGTGTTCATGTGTGTGTGCACGCGCACAAAGCTCTATCCTCGTGTAAGGGCAGGAACACGCACCTAACTGTGACTCGGGGCAGCTAAGGGACGTCTCCGGCTCGCACATGCGAACACCACATAGGTGTGCGCGCGTGTGCACAGGAGTGCAAGAGCACTCTGTGAGCCCAAGCTCACGCCTCACCTACTGCAGGAAGAAGGCGGTCACGGAGGAGCCGGAAGCAGCAGTGGCTTCCACCCGCCTCGAGGACTCATGTGCCTACAGCTTCACTCGGGTGGAGCAAACGATCCCTTCGGAGAAGACACATTCACAGTCCTCGACACATACTGAGGTGCATGGATTCTGTCCCTTCAGTAATAAATTAAAAGACTGCCTCAAACAAAATAGTTGAAAACAAAAACGAACAAACAAAAACCCCTCTTGCTCCCCTGGCAAGAACTGCGGAAGAACTCACTGGAAGACCCTCACCCTGACTACGTCCTAAGAAGCCAACTCAAAAGCTGCCCGAATCACTACGTGAACCACGACAGATAAAGAGCACGACATAAAACGGGAGCTTGCTGGATACCCCGAATACCACAAGCCAGACTATGGCCTACGGAAACAAAAGTTATGGAAATGTGCAAGTAGTATGTACCACAGCTTGAAAAAGGAATGTAAACATAATGTTGCTTACCACAGAAAATACATCGCAAATTAGTGCTGTCCTGGGTAGCAGCAACCTTGCTCTGGGCTGCAACAGACACCTGGTGTTAGAAGCTTCAAAGGACAACGGGGCCGTCTGAAGAACTTCACACAAACTAAAAGGTGCTTTCAAAGGTTCAAAATGTTTTTATACATACGTCCTATCTAGATCCTCATTCTGGAAGCTCTGTAATTTAATAAAAACGTATCTTCTTTAATATAAACTTTAAAAAAGAATTTTTATGTGTAATCTTATTTGTGGAAAAACCCTGTAAGAAGCCCCAGACCAAATGACGCACTTCTAGCTTCTTTCTGGAGTTAGACAATCAGAGAGTGCAATCAATCCACATTTCAAAACCATATTTTGAAAAGTAAATGGAACTGAGGTACAGGAGGTCAGCTTCCATAGCTGACTTAATTTCACAGTATCTACCACTTTGCAGCTGAAAAAAATTCAGGGGAGACACTTAAAATTAACTTAAGCTAAAAAGAATTCATTTCTACTAGTTGAAAAAGACAAAAGTTGTTTTAAACAGCCTGTAGCAATTAAAGTGTTTTATAGTCATTGATGTAAATAAGAGCATCTTCATTGCACTCTGAAAAAACATCAAAACTATTCACTGTTTTACCAAGCCATATTTAATGATTCCTTTTTTCCCCCCCAATATGTTTACATACTTGTTAAAATATCTTACTAAATACACGTGGCCACTTCAAATAGCCATTTTTATTTAGGCTACCTACATTAAAACTTACCCTAAGTATTAATGAAGTAAATTCTCTTTAACAGAAAAAAACTCAGTGAGAAGAAGGTGCTAATTTATGAAAAGGGGAAGGGCTTATATAAAATCAAGGTGACACTCAAAATTGGGATGGGAAAAACAAAATTAAAAATTTTCTTACTATTACATTAGTGCTATTTATAACTGTATCAATAATTTTCTATAAAATGCCAAAGAAATTCTTTTCAGCGTAGGAAAGATTTTCTTTTTCCCTTGGTATTAGCCAAAAAACAATGAACAGATTAAAATATACTGACTCAAGAAAGACCGCATAAAGGCAAACAAGACAGTATTTTAGATTTCCCCAAACTGTGTTCTTTAAATAATACAATTTATGCTAACTAAAAAAGTTTACATAGACTCAGAACCAAACCAATTTAAAGACCATACATCTGAAAATGGCAATAAATCTTAAATAATCAGAATTTTAAAAATCATTTTTAGATTTAATATCATCCAATTAAGTTTAAACTTTGCTTTAAAAATATTACATACAGCAGATATTTTCAAACACAAAATAAAATCGAGAAATGTCACCTTTGCTAAGTACTTTCAACAACCCTGTCTATTATATTATTATTATTATTATTATTAAAGCCGCATGCACAACATTCACTGTAATGACAGGAGAGAGACCACAGGCATACGTGTAACATGTCTACCAAGTCAATCACATCATTTCAAAGGAGACAAACAATTTGGGAAATTTTCTATAATTATATTTTAAGTTTAAACTTTAAAAGAATCTGTCTTACCAATGTCTGCAAATGACTACTCCTGTAAAGCCTTTATTAATAAACATGCCTGGTCTTCAGGTTTTACCCTTCTGTTCCTTTAATTCACGTTTAAAGGGAAAAAGAGTAAGGAAAATATGAAAACTTACAGAAAGCCCTGAGACAGGATCTCGCCTCGGACAGCAAAGCGCCTTCCAGGCTGCGCTGCCAATCACACTGGCTCAGCCACCTGACCGCTGTCAGAATGCGGGGAGCCCATGCAGACCTCACGAGACCCCCCACTCACCACCAGAAACTCCCACTCTTGTCTCCGTTTACGCCTGCTAAGCACCACTCTCGCACTCGGTATCTTAAGGCATCTTTCTACGGACTTCCACTGCTCACCACCGCATCGAATACTGCTCTCCGTCCTACCGCAGAGGGCACTTCCCGCCGGATGCTGAGGCCACTCTGTCCAGGCTCAGCTGGGGGGTGGGGGAGGGTGGGCAGTGCAAGAAGCGGCAGTCACGGCCCCGACCAGGCGGGCGCAGGAATGGGGACGCCTGCGGCAGGCTAATGGCCCACGCGAGTGCCAGTGCTCCGCACACCCGCAGAGACCCCGTCTCTCCAGGTCAGCCACAGGACCCATCAGGCTCGGCGCTCAGACGAGCACGGGCCCTTGAAGGAAAGTACGCGCCGAGGAGGTTAAGATGCGCCAAACCCACAAGATGTAGCATCTGTACTGGACGTCCAGAGAAGCGAAATGAGCTCGTCTATCAGCCGCTCTCCCCGAGACAGTCCTGTCACGGGGGTGCCCACCACTCCCCTCAGGGGTTTGGTCTGAGTGGCAAGAAGGAAGCAGCCTGGGAGAAGCGGCAGCGGCGACCATGCCGGGCTGTTTGCATCTTATCAGTATGACATGCTCCCGCCAGAGAGAATCACAATGGCAGACCCTCGGCTACAGTCCCCAACGCAGCTCGTGATGGGGCTATTACCCCTCTCGGCCTTTTTTCTGAGCGGTCAATGAGATAATGCTTGCTTAAAGCTGGTTTTACTTCACTTTGCTTCTAGAAAGCTGTCTGTTGAGGGGCACATCCATCACCAGCTTCCAAATGAGCAGCATTCGTGCTCTGACCATCAGTAAAGCCCCCAGGTGCAACCCTCGTGACAGCGACGTTCTATGACATATGTTTTAAAAGGGAACAAAAGCAAATGTGTGTGTCTGTGCTAAGGTGTCAAGAACAGAACGAAGGAAGACACTGCAGTGGTGTGGCTGCCTGCAATGAAAAAACAAAACCAAATAAAACCAAACAAAATCGGGCAGCGCGGGCATGCCAGTGGTGCAGCCAGTGCTGCGGGACAGGATGGAGGTTCCTCAAAGCTGGTTCCCCCATCCAGCAATTCTGCTTCAGGGCATATAGCCGAAGGAAATGAAAACAAGATACCCAAAAAACACCCACACCCCTATGTCCGCTGCAGCCTCAGTCACATCCATCAGGACGCTGCAAAAACCTACTGTCCATCCGCGGATGAACGGATCAAGAGGATGCAGTGTGTGAGATATTCTATTCTGGAACCTTACGGAATACACACAAGGGTGTATCACTCAGCAGTAGGAAGAAGGAAATCCTGCGCGAACTTGGATGGGCCCTGCAGGCATCACGCTAAGCGGAATGAGCCAGACAGACAAAGACAAAGACTGCATGGCATCACTCGTGGGTGGACTTGAACAAACAAACTAACTTACAGAAACATCAGAAAAGTGGCTGCCAGGGCCTGTGGGGGAAAGGGAGGTAAACAGAGGTTGGTAAAAAGGTACAAACTTTGAGACATAAGATGCATAAAGACCAAGGCTCGAATACACACATGGTGACGGTGGTTGACAGCACTGTACCGTGTAACTGAAATGTGCAGACTCACCCACAACACACACACACACACACACACACACACACACACACAGGTGAAGATGATAGATGCGTTAATTAACTGGATGGGAGGGATCCTTCCACAATATATGCTCTATCGGGACATCATGACATGTGCTTTAAATATCTTACAATTTCGTTCGTCAATTATACCTCCATAAAGCTGAAAAAAAGACACATACAGACATATACGTGGGTCTCATTCTACAGGACCCCGCGCCAGCAGACACGAGAATCACAACAAAGACCAAACTGTGTTCAGAGTAATGGTGTTTTTAAAGGGCATTTTAATACATTTTCAAAAAATGTTCATATTTTCTTTTAAAATACATGCAGTTTTTAATAAAAGAAAACCTTTATATATCTCAGGAGTGTCATGGATCAGCGACACATGAAAAAATGCCAACATACAAACTTCCCTCTTGTGTCGTCATGCCAAGTCTCAGGGAAACTGTACAGGTGATGGGGTTCCCCTGCCCCTTCGATTCTTGAATCCTTCCCCAACTTATGGCCTCAAGAAACATTTTATTCCTTTCTCAGCAAGTGGAAGATGGCTGCTGACAGACTGCGGAGAATTCCTTACAGGCCTGAACTGCGATAGTCCCGACGTGTCCCCAGCCCACACCTGTTCTTACACCATTTATCTTCAGCTGTGGAATCATTAACTCTGCCCCCAGCTAAAGAACCCGTTAGAGTCAACCAGAATATACCAGCCTGCCACATCCCGACACTCAAGAAGGGGAGACTGACCCACGTCCCATGCCTACTTCCCTGCAGGGCCCTCGGCCACCACGGGCACAGTCTGGCAGCGGCACTTTAACGAGCAGGATCTGCTTATGGCCGGAGCCCGTGCTCTATTCAGTGCACACACCAGAAATCCAGGGCCCTGCTCACCCCTTCCTTTTCATTACTAGTGAACCTACTGCCAAGCCCTTCCTGTCCCCTCGAAATCCCTCTCTCCAAAAGCCTCTGCTGCCCCGTGACCTCTTGTCCAGACGGTGGTTTGCAGAGGGATGCACTTACCCCAGAATGCTGACCACACACAGGCGCGGGAAAGAAAACACCAGCACTTCTATTTCTGTTCATTTTTCTCTCATGCCTTTTTTTCCTTAGGTTTCATAATATATGCAGAATGTCAACACCCAAGTACACACACTTACACAAGACACACACACAAGCAGGGATCAGCTCCAACACTCGCGGACCGCTAGCCCTGACTGTGGCGGCAGCATCGCCTCACGAAGCTGCCCATTCTGATCTCGGTACGACCCCCTTCCCCACAGCAGCCAGTGAACCAGATCAACTCGCCTCCCTCCATAAAACGTCTTCAATTGCTTCCCACTGGTCTTCAGCTAAACCTCAAACTCCAGGGCCCTCTCTCTGTGATGTGACCACTGCCTCCGTCATCCAGTTCACGCTGTCTTCCCAGGCTCCAGGCATGCCAGTCTTCCCGCCTTCCCGACGGGCTCGCTCGCAGCGCCTCCCTCTGCCCGGCCCCCTCCCCAACCTCCTTCCCCCGCTCCCTTCCCCTGCCCATGCCCCTGCCCCTGCCCTTGACCTCCTGCCCACACTCGTCTTCCCCTGGGTGGCGGGAAGATTTCCTTCTGCAGTAACTAGAACTTGCTG